GGTCAATTATCAGGGTACATTTTGGACTGATTACATGGATGGATGGCGAACTGCAAATGTCACGGTCGGTTTTTATAATAATTATTAATGCCCGGACATCAAATGTGTAATGTAGGACAGGAGCTTTGTGGTTTAAGATCCAGATTATGCTTTTGTTTTTCTTTTCCTCTCTTATAGAACACTTCACAGATCTTTCCCCCCTCCAGCGGCGGTGCAGAGAAAATGTGCGCAGACCTAAATCTACCTCTGTTAGGCCAGGTGCCACTGGACCCGAGGATCGGACGGAGCTGCGATGAGGGCAAATCTTTCCTCCAAGAAGTCCCTGACTCTCCTGCAGCTGAAGTCTACCATGGGATTGTGCAAAGTGAGTTCATTTCTATTCCCGATATTCCATTTCTTTCATAATTCTGTGTCATTTTTTTTTCATCCTTTAGAAGTGAGGAAGTTTGACGTACACTCAGTCACATTCCCTTTTCTAGTGAAGTCCCTTTTTTTTTTTTTGATGACTTGTTTGTTAGGCTGGTCTAATTCCTGATTAGATCTACTGAAAGAAGAAGTATTCACTTTAAAAAATGGGAAGCAGTCTGCTAAAGAGGAAGAAAAAAAATGTTTAATGAAAATTGAATAACTTTAGGTTCAGCATAAAACCGATTCTATGGAATTAACTGGGGTTTGTGCACCTCAGCAGATTTATCTGAAGTGTTTTCTCTTTCTTCTGCCAGGTATCCAGGACTACTGCGCCAACAGAGCGGCCGACGGTCAGAACGCAACATGACCCCCAAGACCGAAGCAGATTACAAGAAGCGTGGTAGAGACCTGGAGAACAAACACACACAAGAACGCTTCTGACACTGACATTATAGCTGCAGTTTTAGTCTGAACTATTCTCAAGAACAGGCTTTTTTTATTGTCAGAAACTTTGATTTGTGTGTATAGATTTGATCCGACCTCATTGTGCTCTGCTTACTCTAATGAAAACACAGATATGTCATGTAAAAAGCACCGGGTGGAACAAATCCGACAAACGACTTTGAATGAATACTAACTGAATGCATTCCCACTTTTTGATGAAGAAATAAAGATTGTCCCAAAAAGATAAATCTCCAAAGAATCTTTGCCTAATGATCATACTAAGAATGGGAATCTCAACAAAAAAAGGTCACATGTTTTGTTTTTTTGATTATTAATATTAGATTTTTACTCATTTAGATTTAAGTAATCACAATTGTGATTTAAGCACAAATAATCGCTTAAATCACAACTAGCGTCAAAATGGCCCCTTTCACACTGGTTTAAACAGGCATCTCATGTAAAGGTTTCCTGGTTGTGAAGGAACATTTGAAGTTCTCTGTGATTCTTTAAAAAAAATCCTAAGTTTAACCATTTCAGTTGTTTTTAAAAAGTACAAATATTTAAAATACTTACAGATAGTTATTTCTTAAATATTTCCACTTACTTGTTGCTTCTTCCATAAATGTATTCCCTATTTTGGAGAAATGTGCCGAGAGCCTCCAGTGTTGCATAATTTGTTGCTCTGGCTGGTTGTTACGCAGAATAAACTTCAAAGCCCATAATGCAAGTGAAACATTTCATTTGACTTGAGCTATTCAGATCGCAAATCTGCTAATTAATTCTTCTTTATAAAGCAGACTGGCTTATGATTGCATGATTAGCCACTTAACAGAGTTTGTACTTTGTCATCTAGCAGCTCGTTTCAGTAGTTGGACAAAACCTGAGTGATTGTTCTGAAACTTGCTGTAAGCTCCTCGAAAGTAAAATTTTGATTTAAATTGGTTGAGAGTAATTTAGTTGGAGTCTTCTTATGGTATTTGCAAATAAATACTAATGGCACAGAAACCCTGTGGCTCTTTATTCAACCAATACAAAATCGATAAAAAAAAAAAAAGGTATCAGTTTTGCCTGAAGGAAAATAACTGCTTTGTCTGTTTTTTGTTTTTTTTTAAATCTCTGTATAATCATCTAAAGATTGTTAGAGTTAGTTCTTTCTTTCTTTTGGTTACCACTCTGAAACAGCCTATTAGCCTGTTTCCTATTAAAGAGAAGAGTAAGGATTGTCCTGTTTGCTCTTGTGTGCAGTAAGTAGGTCATTCTAACAGCAGCTGAACATGTGAGATCATGTTTAAGGGTAAAGCCTTTAAATGTGGTTATAAATCAAATCAAATCTTCAGTTCCCATAATAAAGCAAACAGCAGACGTCTGAATTATACAAAAGGAGGTAGTGAAGATAAAATCAGTGCTAGGTTTGTTCTCAGACTTTGTAAAGAATAGACTTTAAATGTCAGCATATTGTTGCATTTCACTTTTCTAAATGTTCCTCACCTCATCTGACACAAGTTAATTTCATATCAGCGGCTCATTGTATTGGGCACAGGCACGTTCCTCATTTGGTTACAACTACTCAGTTTTCTATGATTTACCACGAATTCAACAGCTTTAAAAGAATAAAGCTTTTTTTCTCCCCCCCTGATATTTGGCCATTTAAAAATAGGCATCGCATTTTTTAAACTGAACTGGTTTGCAAAATACAGGTCTGATCATTCTATTTCTAGGTTTGACTTCTTAAAAAGTCAAACTTTCTAAGTAAAAGAGATAATTTCCCGCTTCTTTTACAAGCACTAAAAAAATATTTGTCATGCTAAAAGTCTCATTTTAACACGCTCTTTTTGTGTGCATGTGTCAGTGTGAGGAGGAGACTACGTCCTCATTTGTACTTACCGTGTAGATGTAGTTCCTCCAGGGTTCACAGAAAAAACACATGTGAAACCTCCCCAGCTACAACACAAACAAAACAATCTGAGCCTTGGTCACAGTGATTTAACGTGTGCATTGACCTGTCTCCGTATGTTTGTCACGTAAACACGAGGAACACGTTTCCAGTTCAATCTCAATGATGTAAAATTGGATTGTTGTCTCTGTTTCGGCAGCTTGTGCGCATTTATTTAATCTTTTTATTATTATTATTCTTTTGGCAACCAAGAGTGCGGTAGAAATGACACAACATATCGCAATGTTCACCCCAAAATATCAGTGTGATTTTTAAATGTTCATCACCAGCCTGATCCCCAAAGTGAAGAATTGTGATGGTAAAAAAAAATGTGTGAGAGCAGTAGCTTGGAGATCCAACAAACTAACACCCTACACAGGGATTTAAAAGCGCTCTGTGGTAAGGCCAATCTCTCATTTCTCTAAAACATTGGTGAATGACTGCTTACAACAAGCGTTTTTACTCTAAAGACTAAAATTGGAGCACCATTGAGGTAGATGTTATGTTTTCTGCTAAGCATGTACCAAATACAGGTATTGGGATGTGTACCAAAGGTTTAAAAAGTTTTTAAAAGCATTGTTTTAAAGCTTTGTGAAAATCTGATACTGAGATTTGTACTCAGTTTTTTTTTTATTTTTTTTTATGTTTACTCACAGGTTGTTATACTGTGAGAATCTCATGCTTGACCCATGCCTGGTCCTAACCAGTATTTTTAGTCTGACTAAAAGCTTTGCCTTCTCTCCCAGAACCTGCAGCCATAATACCTGGTGTTTGTGGCTAAACAGTGTTGCTGTATAACGTATCTGCAGTGAATGGAAGTAGCTGTAAGTATAATTTTTTGACATAAATTTCACTATTCGGCTTGATTCTGTTAGAACAGTTTTTTTTTTCTTGTTTTATTTATTTATTTTTTTAATAATCGGTTTACATAGAGAATATGCCATCACTGAATTTCATCTCCTGCTAAATTTTCAAAAATTTTATGGGACAGCCTCCTTTAACATTGCTTATCTAATTTGAAAACCTTTTGAAAGAATAATTTGCATAAAAACATAATATTTGGCATTTCACTTATGGTGATATTCAGAATCTGCTTTATAAAGAGTCTTGAAAGAATGCATAAAGCAAGACATTTGTGGTTTAAAAACCTTTTGCTTTTTTTACTCCCCCAGCAGTTTAATAAGAAAACAATGCCAAATTTATTTGTTGTTTTTGGCGTTGATCAAATATTCTGAGCAGATCATCCCACTAAATTAAAGATTATAATGTTAGGGTCTGTTTTGTAGTGTCAAAGCAAAGTTGAATTTATTTGTCATTTTTAATATACTAGCACACAGGTGTTTTGTTTTATTTATGGGTACCAATTTTAAACCCCAATTCCAAGCAAATTAGCTCTTTATGATTAAGTCTCTAAATATACAAAACATATGGAGCAAAGGGTGTGGCTGGAGAGCACTAAATATATTTTTTTTATTAGTCATTATTGCCCGTACCATTTAGCCAAACCAGTTCCAGCACCTCAAAGAGATTATAGCAGTAGATTGGCATGTATTCTTCTGTTGACACTTGTTTGCAAAACTTATTTTGTTGACCAGATCATGCAAGCGGGCTTAAGAGTAAAGAACTGCCTATGTGGAATTATTGACAAATTTGTGTATAAAACCCACAGCTTACATAGCAGGTTATGTCTGGAGATCAAATATTTAAGGGAAGTGTTGCCCCAGACTACATCCTCTTGCATTGTGTGAAAGTCCTTGGGTGGAAGAGATAGTATTGAATCAGCTGACTGTGTTTTCATGTTGCATGTTGCAACAATGCAAATAATAAACTACTGTGATGATTTCAGTATTTAGTATCCTTCTGCATCAAAGAATATCTGTTTTTGGTCTTTTATTTTTAAATGACAAAAAAAAAAACAGCAAAATATCAGAAATATTTCTGAAACTAATTCCTATTCAAGTCATTTAGATTTTTTTTTGTTTTTTTGTAAAGCAAAAAATAAATAAACTTTACATAAAGTAAATGAGAAATGGCTCCTGACTTCACAGTTGTGCAAGCTTTACAAAATTTCACTTCCAACTACTATTAATACCGCGTATGACGTTGCCACCTCCAGTCTGGTGCATGCATTCCCGTCGGTTCTGAAGCAGACCTCCCACTCCAACCATGAAACACCACCCCCACTCGATTTGAAACCTCCTCCTGGACAAAAGCAGTGTCCCTTTAAAAAAAAATACATACGAAATCTATCGTCTTGATCAGATGGCATCTCACTAACTGGAGCTGGATGCCTTGGCGGCCGGTGTCCACATCATGGCTCAGTTCGCCGAGGTCCTGAACCAGGTGAGGTCGGTCCTCACCGTGGCGCTGCCCGGTGAGGTTCACGCTCTGCTGGAGGGTCTGGTGGAAGAGGGGATCATCTCGGAGGCATACAGGAACAGTTTGAATCTGCACTGGCTCAATGATGGCATTGTGCCTAAATTCACGAGCAAACCAGGATGCGTCGAGCTGGATGAGGACTTAAACACTCCAGGATCCGTGGCTCAGTTGGACCTCAACCAAGAACCGATGAGCCGAGTCAGAACAAGCGGATCGAAATCTCTCGCTGGTGACCACAATGTGGAACAAACAGAATCGGTCTCATTAATAGAGGAACCAAACAGCACAAGATTTACCCTGGAGAAGAACAAGTGGCTCCAACATGAAATTCTGCAGCAAAATCAGGAGGAAATGCAGGATTTATTGGAAGAAGTTCTAATGGACATGTCCTACTTCAACCAAGACCCTCTTTCCTATGACTGCACTCTCAGATCCATTGATGAAAAAGCAGAACTGCTGAGCGGTGCAAGGAGTGAGCCTCCTAGTGATAATGAAAGCATAAACATGGGGAATGAGGAAAGTGAGGAGGTGTGGTTACAGCAGCTAGAGGAATCGGCCAGGAGGATAGCTGTTCCTCTGTGGCAGAACTGGGACAGAGGGAGAGGGATGTTGCAGACCCTGCTGCCCTGTGGGCCAAGCAGCTGCTCAATAAGCGACAGGATGATGCTGGAGGGTGAAGCCCAGAGTGTCGTTTTGGACAAGGAGGAGGAAATGGAGCTTGCAGCCGCTTGCAGTTCACTTGACACCTGCGTTGGCGACTTTGAGTGTGAAGAGCTGAGCTTTGCGTGTGACACAGACGCAGGCAGGTCAGAACGAGAAGGGCTTCACTTTTCTACCCTCAGCGGGGTTGCTGTGTTCAATGCGGACGACTTCAGGATCCTTGGAGCGACAAGAAACGCCTCACCTGTTGAAGCCTGCGAAGCAACGGAGGCGGGATACATCACCCAAATACTGGAGGGCAAATTCGACGTTCTGTGTCCAGTTGGCAAGACTGCAGACAAAGTGGATGACCTGTTCTGTTCCACACCAGATGCACCATATCAACAATGTGGAACACAGTCAGGACTGTCTGAAGCCACTTTCAGGGACCTGCTACATTCAGATGTGCCTGAAGACAGCAGAACTGATCTGCAAGATGCCTCTCATTATAGTCTCGCAGAAGGATTTACAGATTACCTAGAAGATGCAGAAATGTATAACCAAGATGGAGAATTCCAAGAAAAGACGGATTTACATTGTGGTAAGTTTGTTCATCATCATCATTTAAAGTATTTGGGTTCAAATTACAGGTAAATGGGACAGCTGAGAGTTTCAACGTTTCGAATCCTGAAAAAAGTGGTTTCGATTTTAACATTCCAGTGTTAGTATGGCTAGATCCTGCAATCCTCTATTCTCTGTGCTCTTGATCTTATTTAAGTGGAAAACCAGGAGTTTTCTGTAAAAGCAATTATAATATTCTAGTACTATCATAATATTCTAGTAGTATATTCTAGTTGGAGAGCTTTTTTCTTTTTTCTCCTCTTGGATATATAGGTACTTTCCATTCCTCCCCTCCTTTTTCCAGAACCGAAAGTCTGCTTTCTGTTGACTTGTTAACCTGCCAGGCAGTTTATTTTTGGTGAACGCCTTGTGGGGATGGTAGAGTTTACTTTCAGTTTCATCTTGCATCAGCGAGTGGTGGGCTATGACTTCTTAGATCCCTTTCAGTTTTATTCAGCTCTTGGATAATCTGTGATTCAAAGCAGACTTTCTGAATTAAACGATTGTAGGGAAGTACTGCAAGGTTTTATCAAAGCCAGTGGCGTTTTAGGAAAGGTCTTCTGAGGACAGTTTAAAAAAAAAAAAAAAAAAAAAAAAAAAGCACATGATATCAACTCTTAGATTTTAACCATAGCAAATCCGGATTTTGTAAAACCTATTAACACTTTTCACTAAACCGGGTTTTTGCAGGGGACCAAGTCCAAATAGTTTTGGCTCATCAAATATTTCCGGCATGCAACTCAGTAATGTGGATACAATCAGCTTTCCCATAAGTCTCCTGCTGTGGTTTTATTTATTCTCAATTGCACATTTTATTGTACACAAATAAATGATAAAGATGTTTTCAGCACTGTTGTAAACATTAAGAGCTTAGAGGCAAAAAGGACACTGCTAAAGGTGGACCGGTATTAGTTTGGGTGATCCAACCCATATAGGGAGTTGTTATCATTGTTGAGCAAGCAGGGCAGGTACTTTCCACGCAACACCTGTGCTTAGTGTTATGTTAGGTCAGATGAACTGTGTGTGTTGGTGGGTTTCTTGCTAGAAATATGATCTTAGGAGTTCAAACATTGGCACCACTGTATCGAGAAGAAAGGAGACAGTTATTTATGATTAATAGTCGTTAAAACCTTTAAATGTTTCCCAGTTTTAAGCCATGTTTTTAAGCGTGTTGCCATGTAACATGAAATGAAACATTGTAATACAATTAGTTAAATAATCTCAGTCTTAGTCGGCCATATTCCTACAACTTCTGGATGATGGATTTAACTGAACTCCAGGGGATGTTCAGTGCCGTAGAAATTTGTTTTGGTATCTTTACCGTGACTAATACTTCTCAATAACCTTTTCTCAGATTTTATTGTTGTTGTTTTGCATTCATGCCATAATTGTAGCCAGGAATGCTGATTAACCAGAGAGTGGACAGGCGTCTTTACCTAGAATGTCTTGAGATACAGTCACTGCATTTTGGCGATCTCCTTTACTAGCACTGACTGGTTGGACCTCTGTTAAATTAGGTCAGTCGTTGTCAATGGAGTGGATGCTTATGTAATCATATGTTTCACATTACATAACTGTATGTTATTATTTTTGCAGAAATTAGTTTTCACTTTGACATTAAATGTGTTATTGTATTTTCTGTCACCTAAGCCAAATTTGATAATGACTGATTTTTTTTAAAAGCAATGAAATGGGTAAAACGGCCAAGGGGGCAGAGGTAACGTTTTTATAGGCTTTACAAATAACAGGTGTTATCAGAAAGATATTTAGCAATCCAATTCATAGCAATGGCTGCTTTGTGGGAGCAGACAGTGGATGATTTACACACTCGAGGAGTCCCTTTCAGAATTGTTTTCAGACATGTTGCAGGGATTTTGAGCAGGAGCTGTCTTTTCCAAGGTCGTTCCATATCATCTTAAGTGGATTTAAGTAAGACATTGACGCAGCCAATCCAAGCTCTTCATTATTTCCATTAACATTTTTTTCAGCCATTTAGTGATAGACTTTCTGTTTTGTTTCAGAACACCGTTTTACCTCGGGGAAAGCCGAGGTGTGTTTGACAATAACACCGAAAAGAGATAGCCATTGTATCCTGCCTGATATCCTGCCCCCAAGGTTTTTAGCTGCCAGTGTGATGATGTCTTTGTTCTGGAATGTTGGGTCTCACTGTACTTAAAATAATAATTTAAAAAAAGGATTTGTAACTCTTTCCACAATAAAGGACAACAATGACTTGAGTTTCACTATAGACTTGGGGACTAATGTGAACTTTTAGCTTGATTTGAGCTTTTTACAATTCTACCGGTTGCACAGGTAATCAAGCCAGGCCATTGAAATTAAAACCAAAATCTATTTACAGTAAATGATTAACAAAGAAGGCAAAACGTTAAGTTGTAATTTTAATAAATAAAGATAATAATCTGAGCGTTACCTGTTATTTTCCTCGGTATCTTTGTCTGTTAAAGTTTGTTTTATGGGGTGAGAAAAAAACTAAACAGAAGAAAGAGGACAAATGTTTTCTCACAGCACTGTGTGCAGTTAATCGACAGAGGGAGGTGTGGCAGCTTTGTTTGTTTTTCCCTCAGGTTTATTAGACTCGGTGCTGATGTATGCATATACCAAACCTGTTTTCAACGGCAAATTAAAGTATAGCTGCACCATGATTTTCTTTCTAGATAGTTATTATTCATTTCTTTTATTTCTTGAGTTCTGTTGCCTCTTGTCTGAGACATAAAAACGAAAGTACGGTTATGCATGTGCACGCAGACGATGCGGTCTTGGCCCACCGTGGTGCAAACCAAGCCCCGCAGCTTGGCGTCCTGGTAAAAGTGAAAGCAAAAGCCCATTCAACTGGCAGATGCTGTTGCGCCTATACGCAGTGGGGCTGCGGGTTATCCGAGGATAGGATAGGCTGTCTGGAGCGTTTGATGTGATGTGTGGCATGAAATATGCCACAACATAGAAGAAAATGCAGCAAAATACACGAGAGAGTTCCGAGGTCCTGAGCAGCGTCCAGGGAGACTCGACAGGTAAATTATTTGTCCTTCATATAACGGGACAGGTTGGGTGCGCATTTTCAACGTGCTTACGCATAGGGTCATAAGACTTAAATATTTTATGCTAATTTTGGGGGGTAATAAAGAGGAAAATATCTTTGCGTGACTTAAGCTTAAGATTATAATGATCACATTAATTTCAGAAGTTTTTTTTAAATTTATTTATTTTTTTTTTTTTACCTCGAATAATCCTAAATGCATAGCCATCATTTATTTTATTGTTAAGCCTGTTTAACTTTAAATCCAGAAGCACTAAAATGCGGACTCTATTGCGCATGTATGTAATCAAATTCTCACTCTGGCATGCACAGAAGCAACAACAATTGAATTGCTGGTCGATGAAAGATTTTATTTATTTATTTATTTATTTATTTATTTATTTATTTATTTATTTATTTCGAACAGACTGAAAAGACAATCAAGAAAACAAACAAAACAAAATAGAATAAAACAAACATAAGAAATAAAAATGTAAAACAAATTATTCTGCCCATGCGGGATGATGGGAAATTCAGAGACCACCTGTGTTTTCTCGTTACAACACAGTCAAGGTGAAACTATAACATGGCGGTCGCAAACTTGCGCGTATCTAGAAAGTTGAGTGTGCACAGAAAGTTTTGGACTTTCCCTTTCAAGGATTTAGCTCTGCTCTGCTCTGCGCATGGCTGATACGAGCAAACAGATGCGACTTTTGCCCCTAAACTATTAAGAGTTTGACTGTCCAACAATCTGCAAACCCACATTTGGAGTTGATGTGTAGCTCTTCACACACTGGCAACGGGTTTTATTGCTACGCAAATTTAAAAAATAAAAAATAAAAGTACACGCAAGTCCCGAAATTGGATAAACATGCACATATTCTTTGATTTGAAAATAATATTTCACGCTAATCAATGAGAAGCAGAAGGTAGAGGGAGATGTAAATAAAGCCTGTTTTCACTTCCTGCTTTTGACATTAATATGTCGTGTGAGTAAACAAACGTGATGCTAAATTCAGAGCCATGCTGGACTGGGCTGTCAGGTAAAACCCCTTGCTTTTGATGAACAACATCTCTGCTAATGACGTCTCTGGGTTGCTGGACATGAAGACCAAATTTGGTTGAGATTTAATGGGGGGGGAAAAAAAAAGAGTGACACGTCTGTACTGCCTACATTTCTCCAACGCCACAAATACTTTTTCTGACCTCACTGTCACATTTTAATTTAGAGATGTGAGCAAAGTTAGAAGTTGTTGCCTACATTGTGTCTCTTTGTTAGGCCATGACCACATGTTTACATCCATGCAATGCAATTTAATAAGGGCAAAAGTAATATCCAAATGTATAGTTATACATTTATAACTATAAATGTATAGTTGAGTATTTTCATGCATTCTGGAGAGAATTATTTTTTTGTATTACACCATTTTCCCATTTCTTTCCTTTTTTTTGTGTTGACTCATAAAAAAAACAATAAAAAAAAAAACAACTCTGACTGAACTTCATGTGGGATGTTGTTTATTGGTGTCACATAAGCACATTTTCTCACAGAAGAATATGGGTAGAATTAAAGAAATTACTTTGAATGGTCTGTTGTTAAGGTGAATATGAAATGTTAGCCATGTCAGGTATGAGTTAGCTCAAGGCTGCTGCAGTTGCTCATCGCTGGTGGCAAAATTGATCACAAAATGATCTGCCCCCACTTTCAAACCCAATATTAAAAGCAAAAAAATAAATAAATAAATAAATAAATAAAAGAATGTCCAACAAACGCATTTCCGTATATTTTTACTATTGACTTATTAGTTCTGAGAAATCAGATCAGCATAAAGCTGCAAAGTGACTCTTTGGTGAAGTGGATATGTGCAGGCTTGACCTCATAATGGTTTTATTCCTAGTCCATTTTCATCCTCTGCTCTTGTTTAATGATTAAGGACTGTTTACACCTCAGGGAATTTTATAAATCATTCTTTAAAAAGGAGATGCAGCAAAGCTTTGCTTATTCCAATCAGGGGAAGTTTCTGCGTTTTAATTTTCAGGATGGCATGCTGTCCATGAAAAGGACAAAAATGTCTGTGATGGTGGGGAAGTTCAAGAGAGGACTTATTATGTCATAAAGTCTGTTAACGAAATGTTTGTGCAGCTTTCAAATTACATATTCAATAGAAGATAGGTCACGATTTCAAGATAACGGCGGTAACTCCAAGTTCTACATGCACCAGTGAATTCTGGGTAACTGTATGTGCCATCAATGAATTGTACGTTGAAGAAAAAGCATATTGCCTTACAAGACAACATCTTTTAGCCAATATTAAAAGGTCACATACGCAGTTTGGTGAAGATGATGAGAACCTCAGACAGTTTGATGAAGCGTGTCTAAAACTTGACCACAAAATTCACGTTTGAATGTCGTCTTTGCATTCATTTAAAGAAGAGTGATCATTTTCCGTCGCAGCTGTTATTTTGTCGTTAAACAGAGTCTCCTTTAGGGCATCGTGTGGCACAGTGGGTTGAGGTCGCAGACCTCAACTCAGCCTTCTGTGTTTCCTTTGCCACATATCTTCGCTCTAATCCCCTCTCTGTCCTCTTCGTGCCTGATTGCTAGTAAATAAAGGTGACTAATGCTGAAAATATTCTTAAAACCAAAACAAAGTGACTCTCCTCTGATCAGTCATTGTGTATGCCAGGCCATTGTTTTGTTTTGGCTGGGATTTCTTTTTTCTATAATATGGGGGGGGTTTTGATTTCCATATAGATAAGGCACTAACTGAGACTGGCATTTTATAGCTTACCTGTCCTGGCATGCCTTATAGTCTTCTATCCAAGTTTCAAAGATCACCTGTTCTGTGTGATCTTTATAGCAAAGTGTGGGTGTGTTTTGGCTTTGTACTGGCTAAATCGAAAGGCAAAGTTCAAGGTGAGATCGAGATAAACAGGAATTGAAAAAAAAACAAAATACCCTGGAGGCTTCATTTCGTTTCCAATAGGCACATTCGGATATTTTCAAACAAACGCCTATAAGCGCACAGTCGTGGCCGTAGACAATCGAGGTCTCTTGAAGTTGGGGTGAGTTTCTGCTTCCGAATAATTCTTGGCCAGAGTTGGACGTTGTTTTCGCTTTTCATTTATCAATAAAATGAAGAATTTGTCTTTCAAATTTCAGCTGGGTGGATCTTCGGCGCAGCCTTACCACAGTGCAATTTTAGGCATGTAGGACACAATTGAAAATGTATTGGTATTTAATAAATACTGTTGTATTTATTTAAATTTTGGTACTTTCCTGAATCCCGTCATTACTTGTGCTCCAGCCTCCTCTTTTATTCCCAGCTGACTTTCCAAACATCCTTTAGTGTCCAAACGGGGATTCACAGTCTTTTTATTTTCAGTCTGTCCTTCATTAACCTCTTCATTGCCAATGTCGTCATATTTAGTGCTGTGAAGAAGCATTTGTGTCCCACTACACTCCCTTGGCTTTTGCTTTTTTGTCACATTTAAATGTTTCAGATCATCAAACGGATTATTTATGAGACAAAGATAATCTGATTTCAGCTATTCAGTCTACCCCAATGTAGAAATATGAAAATGTCCAATGTGTAAAAGAATTGATTTAGTAAGGGAGGCTCCACGGCGACTGGTGGAAAGGCCCACCACTGCTCCATATTTTCTCCATATCTGGACAATGAATCCTCGGTTTGGTTGCAAATTCTTAGAAATGGGTGTGTAAGAAATTAGGCCAAGCTGTGGTAATACAATCATACAGAAGTGTTCAGATTTGTCTGTAATGCAGATAATAAGCTGAGTTAATACACTTTAATGCATAAATTGCATTGCACCTTTTTGTGAAGAGGCTTGAGTATGTCTGTAGTTATTTTCTGTTGGAAATATTTCTTACTTATCAATATGGCCGTTCTCAAAGATAGAAAGAAAAAGAAGAGACCGGTCCCACTGGTTGGTGGCGGTTAGCAGAGCTGGTTTTCTCAATAAAGTGAGTAGAGAATTGCATCGTTGTCATCCAGAAATAGTTCATGTGAGAAAATGAGCTCAGCCAAACCTGTCTGTTAAAGCGTCTTTTGTAATGTTTTTAATTGGCAGACTTACTCATCAGCCTTTGTGTTTTTCTTATTACTTCTGTGTTTTGGTTGTTAGATGCCAAGATGCAAGAAAACGACCAGGATTCCTCGGGCCTGTTGGATTTGGGTTTGTAGTTTTGATTCTTTTCCACCAGTGCTTTACAATATGTCTCCTCCTTTTTACATTAAAACACTCATTATCAAAAATTATGGTTTCAGGTCATATAGCAGACCATTGCTGGGATGATGAATATTTACGTAAGTAGTAAACGTTGACGCTTTGTGGCTTACCTTATCAATTCTGCCCAATTTTTGAAAATAATTATATTAATAATTATTTATTTGCAGTTTCTCAAATCTTCAGTTTCTCAAATCTGCTCTTCAGTCAAGATCTGGGGCCTGACTGCCTTGATGAAATCACCCGAAACAGTGAGCATCTATTTTGGTTATTGTCTTGTATATAAAAAAATAAAAGCAAAAACAAAAAGCCCCCAAAAAAGAAAAGAATTGAGCCATTAACTCTTATGATGTGGTTGAGTTCAATATGTGATATTGAACTCAAGCATAAATAAATTTTAGTTTGTCATGGACACTGCCATGGGGTCTTTTACTTCATATAAGGAATTAAAATTTTTATTATTATTTTTGTGTGGGTTATTATCTTTCACTTGTGTTTCTGGCTGCTGCCAGAAACAAACACCCTTTGCACCAATTCCCGCTTTGAGTCTTCCAAATTCTCTAGAAACGATACACTTCTTAGCCGTCTTCTTCAGATCCCTTCTGAAAAGGCATGATAAAAACAGCCGTTCCGTCTACTGTGTCTGCTAGCCGCTTCGGTGACTTTTACACTTCCTCTTCTGTGCTCTGCAGGTGACACTCCTGTGGCACTGGAGGCCTCTGATACCGCTAACCACAACGAGCAGAGAGAGCAGTGGAAGCCATCGGACAAAATAAAGCCTAAGAGAAAAAGACAGAGAGGTTAAGAGAGCTCAAGTTTGGCTGTTCAGCAGGCCTGTCTGTAGTGTTTGCTCGTTTACATCTTAAATCTCTCTCTTCCAGATGCCCTGTCCACGCAGTGCACCAATGGAGACTCCAGAGTGAAAAGGCAAAAAGCAACAGGTGACAGATTTCGTTGGTTGCTTGTGATTCTTTGTCTTTTGAGAAATGTTCACGTAAATATGCACACGGTCAAATAAATCGACTCATTGCGCATGGTGACACCCTACGTCTATCTTGATGTTTTATTTCTAATCAGTTATCATCTTTACAGTCAGTCAGATTATTCCAAAGTTCAGATTACTATGTTACGAATAAGTTGGGCAACGACCATATTTTTTTCTGCCCTTCTGTTGGTTGATAATAGGATAAACTTGACCTAGTAAGAATCAGACTTAGGCATAATTCCACGTTCTGTGGCCTCTAAGTCATTATATAGTTTTATGATATAACGACTTAGTGGCCTACTTTCTAATCAATTACAAATAAATAACCATAAAATCACGGTCGCCAGGTAGACTGATGGCAACCATCTTTCTATCTGGTCATAGTGAATGAAAATAACGTCCTATTCAGTACAGGATGGCTGATATAAATTCAGGCTGATTCTGAAATCATTTTATGAAACAAATAATATACTTTTCCTGTTGACAGTTTACATGTACTTAATCTGTAATGTGACACTTCATTACTTTTTATATTGAAGGTGTTGCTGCAGTGCTAAAAAAAAATTCAGCTTGCATCGCTAGTAGCAGTTAGCAAGGTTGCCAAGCACACCAACTCCACTATTTTTCAGCTAAAACACAGTTAAAAATAAAAGTCAGAATGTTTGAATTTACATTGTATGACTTTAGTTTATAATCAGCAATACTTTCCAGTTTAGCAAACCTCATATCATAGTTTGCGAAGTGAAGAAACTCTCTTGGTGAAAGGCTAACAGCTAGTACTTAGCCAGGCTTCTTTAGCTGATTTTAGCAATTTCAAAACAAGTCAAACTTTAAATGTTAACATCTACGCTATTAACAAGTATCAAACTCTTTTTCAAGAGGCTGTTGCTAAGTTCTCTTAACCATAAAAAAATAAATGAAGTTACGCTAGTTGATCTTGTCAGCTGTGTAAATACACCTCTTAGACTGAGGCTCGTCAGTCTACTGTAAAAGCAAACACAAAAGTTTGGATGTTATTTGGATGTTAGATGCAGCCTATCCCATGGATATGAACATGTTCAATTGGTTGGGTCATACTCCTCTGACATCTGGAATGATGTCATTTCCAGAATGATGTCATTTCCAGAATGTTCTCATTCTGGAAATGACATCATTCCAGATGGAGTGTTGTACTTGCTGCTGGTTCGCTGTTGTCTACCTCAGTTCATAGGGTTTTTCCAATCACCTCTGCTGAACATCTCTTTTGAATAATTTCTGTTTTAAGTCAAAAATAATGTTCTTAAAAACCTATCACTTGATTTGATGTAAATAAGTGATACCAAACTACTATTAAAGACAATTCAGGTGGCAACAGTCACACTTAGACCACAATTTATTTGGAGATTTATTTTGTTAGTCTGCAGCTGGCTAATCCCCCTGTGTTTTTTACAGAACCACCAAAAACCCAGGAAGAAACTGCTGAGCCACCTGCCATTCATGGTGAGTTTCTCATAGCAACTGAAATTATTTTGAAGGGAACTACATGCATTTCAGCGAATGGATATCCGCTACGCAGCACAGCCAAAAAACTAAAACTGTTTCCGCCACAGTTTTTTTTTTAGAACGTACATAATAAACCATCAAAACTTGATGTGACCTAGATTTCACGGGTCACATGAGCAGGTCACATCTATTCTGCAAAGGAGGTACATGTTGTTTATCTGGGATACTGAAGGCTTAAAGGACTTCTACTCTATGTGACTTGGGTTGTGAAGACAAAGAAAAAGGAAGTTTATTTTGTGATCTGAGATGTGATAAATCAAAAGAAGAACTCTTCCACTGCTCGACTTCCTCTATGTTATTTCAGTTGTACGTGTTAGCATGATGTTAACAGTTTTAGGTGGTAATGGACGTTTTGCTTCTATAACCCTCAAGCTTATAAAGATGACTTTATCTGATCGCAGTGCACCTTTAGTGCAGTGCTCTAGCATATTTTTTTTCTTTGTTGTGAAATTGGAATATAAATCCCATGTTTCTTGTCATAAGCCTGCAGCCTGGGGAGGCTTTCTGCCCTCCCACACTGAACAAAACCTGTTCGTAGAAAACGGTAACAATCTCACCTGGTGTCGTTTTGCAGATGCCGAAGCAGTGTCAGTTCCAGCAGAGTCTGTGGGATGCCTTCCCACCACTCCTCCGGGCAACCTGCTCATGTTCCCGCCTCAGTCAGCTAATTCCATTCCCATTCAGTTCATCACAATCCCAGACCCATCTGCTTATAAGGTGGTCCAGCTATCCTCCTCCCCGCCTCCGCTTATTAGGCTCCCGCTCCCGAACACGGCTGCTACGCCAACGTACATCTTCGGTGAGTAAATCTGTGAAATAATCCTGCATGTAAGGTCCAATAGTTAAGTTTATAGTGTTCAGTTTTAGTTGTAGCCAAACAACACTGGCTGGCTGTAAATTTTGCTCACGTTTTGCTGTGATCCTCAAACACAGAACTGAACCGGAACATTATTGTCAACATAGTGGATCTATTTATAGATCTCTGATTTGTAGCCAAAACACTTCTGACCAGCCAGGATGTGGACAAAAAAAACATATAAAGATATCCTTGAGTGTCTATTGCTGGGATTTTAACAATGGAGCCTCTGGATCAGAGTTTCTGAAAGTTGGGTCAGAGCGCAACAGAGGGCTGCAAATACTAAGACCTAAAGATAATATTCACATATTTGTTATAATTTTCACAAATGATTAGGCAAATTAGTAGAATGCATGCAAAAAAAATTCAGCTTTTTATCCTTACAGATTGCTGTTTTTTAATTTGGATCACTTGCAATGTAAGAAGAAGTCAGAGCCAAAACAATAAGATCATGTTTCATTTGAATGTTTCATAACAACAAACCCGCACCCTTTTATGGCTTCCCAGCAAAACTTCATACAAGTAGAGCAACATTATTCAATTCACCTGCCAGGCACTGCCCAAGCATTGATACCATTCAAACGTTTTTCACATTTTGTCATGTGACAACAATACATAAAGACCTTATGTAATAGACCAGAACAAAACAGTGCACAGCTGTGAAGTGGAAGAAAATGCATAAATGGAAAACTGTGTCGTACACATATAGCTCTTCGTACTGCTATACCCTTAAATATAAATTCCATCTCAAACATTTACTTTCAGAAGTTGCCTACTCAAAAGCAAGTGTAATTTAATTCCATTATAAATACAGTTCATCCGTAAAAGGCGTTAGACGTTTGCTAGAGGACATTAGAGGGCAAACAGCCTCATGCAGCAGACAGGTCAGGGCTAAAGCTTTGGAGACATTTAAAGCAGCGATATTTCACAGAATGCAGTTCAGTCTGTCATCCCAAAACAGAAAGAGTACTACTACCGAGACACGCTCGAGCCTCTTTTGATAGGCAGCGTAACGTTGATCAGAGAAGTGTCCACTGACCCGAGATCCTCAGAACGTTGACAAAACACATATCCATGCAGCACTCAACAAATCTGAGAAAAAGAGTCCAGCAATGAACTTTGTGGGCTAAATACTGTGTGGCGGAAAGATTGTAATGCACATCAACCAAAACACACCATAAACAACGGTAATGGAAGCATGTTGATGGTAGGACTGATTGGGATAAATCACCGTAGAAAATCACAAAGACCCTATGCAACTAGAGCTGCAAGTGAATTTATTTCAAAGCATATTCATGTACTAAAATGGCCAAATCACAGTCTGTGCTTAAATCTAATCTGGAATCTGTCACATAGCTTAAAAACTGATGTTCACAAACACTAACCTTCTAAATCGATCCCTGGTAAATCTGGAACCGATTACCTAGTAACATGACAGTTCAAAGAGATATTTTCACTAGATAAGGTTTTCATTCATATTATACCAGTTACGATATTCACACGTCTGACTCAACTGAACAGGAAATATCTGAGAGATTTCACCAGTCATAGAGCATGTTGCTCACTTTGACCACAAGCTAAACAAATAAGTAGAAACTGTACATGTCAACACAAACTTCTTACAACTGCACCCAAAGTTTAAAGAAAAGATGTGAAAAATGATCACTTTATGGGCTTGATGCAAACATCCCATTTGTCATTCATAATAGATGTGGATGTTTTTAACATACTTTTGTCTTTAGCCGTCTCAAATTCATCAGATGAATGTTAGGCAGCTGTTTGCAGTGAATAACCGCTGTCTTCTCTAATCCTGCTTCCCGTCAGTTCCTAATCCCTCCCCGACCCGCAAACGCCAGGTTCCACCCCTCTCTCCAGGTGAGCATTGCTTTTTATCTTAATCTTGGGATTAATCTTGAGACATTCATGTGCCTTTGTGTAAATATTAATCCGTCTGTGTGATTTTTCTCTTGCGTTTGTAGCGGACGGTGCAGTGGCGCCCTTCCTGATGAGTTCAATCCAGCCAGGTTCCATGTCGGACACAGCCAGCAAAGTCACGACCCCCCCTGCAGCTCCTCTGTCCCCCACAAACGGTAAGCTTGAGTGTGTTTCTCAGACCCTCAGTACATGCTGGGTAATTTTTTTTTTTTTTTCCCTTTCTACAACATAAAAACAACACAACTTATTTCATTTCAGAGGTATCCCCATGTAAGGAGTCGCCAAAGTCCCCTGTGGTTGTGGAAATCCCCCGTAAGTCTGCTTCTGCAACTTTCTCTCATTGCTCCCCACAATTATTATGCCTTGTTGAATAAATTGGCATTGGCTTCACTTGTTTTTCCTCTGCAGAGGCTGTGAAGGACTACATCCAGCAGTCAAAAATACACATGAGTCAGGTCTGCCAGGATATGGAGGCAGGCCTGAGGATGAACGCCCATTACGTGAACGTGAGTGTGAGCCAGAGAGAGATCGCTCGCGCTGGGAAAAACACGAACAGATGTCTGGACAAGGAGCTCATCATAACTGGAGACATCGACCGCCAGAAGAACTCCATGGGACAGAGTCAGGTAAGCGTGTTTCTTTTATAGACTAGTAATTTAGGGAAAAAAAACAAAACTGTGAATTGTGACCATGACAAAAGAAAAATCATTGAGGAGCTGGACATTATGGCTTAAAAAAATGAAGTAAGTAAGTGTAGTGGGATCCAGCCTACTGTCACAGATTCGCCTCGTAGCAGATTTTACTATGGAACATAATTCCAGATGAGTGGAAAATTTGCGTATTTTTTCATTTAAATATTCTAAAGAAAATACATCTTGCAGTGCTGGAATACATAGGTGCAATGCTACTTGAGAAGCCAATGGCTGCTGATTACAAAGCAACCAATCCAGGAGTGCCGTTCATTGGCTGTACCCTCAAGAGCGGCGATAAGCAGGAGAAGGTCTTCTGCTAAGACGGTGCGCATTTATGCATATTGGAGTATATTTGATAAAGTATGAGTAACAGTAGTAGACTCTTCAAGTATTAGCAGAAAAATAAATACCTACCTGAAACTTAAAATGATCAGTAAGCCTGCAGGAGAGAGCTTGGAAACCTGAGTGAGCTCTTGCAGCAGGTTGACTCACAAGAAACATGATTTAAGAGATGCAGCAGTAATAAATTCATTGTATCTAAATGGTAGCAAAATGCAATAAATTCCCCAAGCGTGCTGCACTTACAGCAAGGATTAGGTGTGAGCAAATTCAGGAAGTTGCAAAATAAAACCGTAGAGTTGGCACAAGAAAGAGATCGCCCTTATGAGCCAGAAAGGGTCAGGCCGAAGTCAAACAGTTGACGCTTGGTCACATAGTTGTGGGATATTTGTTTTCGCACACACCCTTCCAGGTCCACAAAGCACACTGAGTCAAACTCCTGGGAAACCTCTTTTTGCAGTGTGTCGTGGTGTTTTTGCGCAGTTTACAGTGGCATTGAAATACATCGACAGGTACAATATGGAAAGAAAAGACTGTTTACAAGCTCACAAGTTTGGAGGAGGAGGAAATAAGGACTGACGAGCTGCAAGATCTCATTTTTACTTTTCCACACTCTCTGGCATTTCCTCTTTAAAACTATCCCTCGTGCTCTCGGGCCAAAAATAAAAAAACTGTTCCTGGAAGTTGAGTTCTCTGAATGTTTTTCACATAAACAAACACGACTACCAAATTCTAACCGATCACACAATAACTCTGCACCCAGAGAGGGACGACGAAAAGTTGTGCAACTGGTGCAATTGCGACAATGAGAACCAACCCACGTCACTTTGTTCCTTTGACTAAACGAATGTGTGTTTGTCTTTTTTCAGATCTTTGACAGCCTGAATGGGAAACGCTACAACGTGCTGTTTGGCAATGCTGGCATGGGGAAAACAACCGTGATCAAGAAGCTGTGTCTCGACTGGTCCATAGACTGCATCCCCCAGTTTGACTTTGTCTTTCTATTAGACGGCAAACAGCTCGCTTTAACGGAGCCCGTCCACAGCCTCCAGACGCTGCTGCTCAGTCAGTCCTCCTTCGCTCCACGCTGCGCGGACCCTGATGGGGTTTACGCTCAGATCCTCGCAGCTCCTAAACGGGTGCTTATCGTTTTCGATGGGTTTGACGAGCTGCGGCACTACGAAGTCCTGCTCCAAACTCAGAAGAAGGAGTTGGTAGCCTCGCTGCAAAAAGACAGCAAAGCCCAGGCCTTCACGGTGAAGCAGCTGTTCTCCAGCATCCTTCAGAGGGTCCTGCTTCCAGGCTGCACGCTCCTCCTCGCCACCCGCCCGAGAGGCACGGCCAGCCAGTTGCTCCGGCGCGCGGACAGCTTTCTGGAGGTCTGCGGCTTCACTCCAGCGAACGTGGAGACGTACGTCTCCCAATATTTTTCCGATCCTGGACTTAGGGAATCTGCTTTGGACTTCTTAAAAAGCAGCAGCTACCTGAACCTCCTCTGCTGGAACCCGGCTCTCTGCCACTTGGTGTGCGCAGCTTTGGAACAGTGCAAAAGCGAGGCTGCCTTACCAAGAACATTAACTGCACTCTGTCACAAGGTGCTCTGCTTGAAAATGGAAAAAGACAGAGGAAGCACAGAGTCACTTCCTGAGGCCAATAAAATGAACACAGTTGAACCCATGGAAAATACAGACATTTCTAGCAATTCTCAGGGGAGGAGAGTACAGAAAAATAATCGCACAAGGCCCAGAGCGGTAGCGTGCGCTGCTTCTGGTAACCAAAGAGCAAGGAGGACGAAGGGACAGAAGAAACTGGTTGAGGAGAACGTGTGCGAGGACACCATCAGATCAGAGCTGCTGTCCCAGCTTTGCTCTATAGCCTGGGAGGGGGTGAAATCCAACTCATCTGTTGTTCCCAAAGGACGAACTGTCTCCACCCAACTCAGAGCCTTCAGCTTGAGGACGGGCCTGCTGCTTTCTCAGTCCCTCATGAGAAGGACGCCCTCCAAAGGAGAGGAGACGGAGGGAGGAGGACAAGTTAACAAAGGGATAGAAAAAGTAGAGAAGGAAGAGAACAGAGAAAAGGGAGGAAACCCACAAACGTCTGATGAATGTGAAGATGGGATCCTGTTGTGGGCTAATCCTTTCCTTCAGAGTTACATGGCTGCTGTCCATTTGTCTTTGTCAAGGTAACAAGGAACTCTGGCCATAAAAATAAAAATTTGTCACCCACAGGCCTCTGCCGTTATTTTCATCTCTCACTATTTTCCTTTTACTTTCAGTTCTGTTTCTTCATTTCCCTCACCCAGTTCAATGTTTGTCTCTGCCCAGGACTGTGACAGACCACTCCTTTCTCCAGACCTTGCCTTTCCAGATGGGAGCCAAAGGCCGACGGAAACCACAGAGGGAGGAGATGGAGCTGACGCAGCGGATCGCCGCAGGCCTCCTGTTCCACAACAGGACAGAGCTACAGAGTCTTCATTCATACTCGGAAACGGTCTTCAGGGACATGGTTGCCAGTAAGCAGGCTTTGGTGATGAAACACCTGGAAGGTCTGTGCTTTGGGGATTTGAGTTCAGCTCAGATCCTGGAGGCGTGCAACTACGTCTACGAAGCAAGTTTCACGCACCAAGAGAGCGGGACGGACACCAGTGCCAAAATGCTGACCCATCTGGCATCAAATCTCCCTGAACTCCTAACATTTCGGGGCGTTCCCCTCAACCCGCCAGATGTGTTCACAGTGCAAAACGCTCTCAGGGCGGGCGGGGCTGAGGGCAGGAGCTTCTGTTTGGATCTGGAAGACTCTGGGATACAGATCTGTGGACTTAGGACGTTAGTGGCCCTCAGCAACATCAACACATACAGGTAAAACTAACTTCTTCCCAAAATGATTCAAAATGACCAATTCAAGAAGTGAAATCATTATAATTTGTGTAGTCCCACACTTTTCAAATTGCAGTGTTTTGAAACTCAGTGTCTCTCAGGGGAACTTTTGGAATTAGTTATTTGTAAGCTTCATAAGCAAACGTCTGAAAATCAGCCACTGTCCTCTCCTGCTCTCACATGAGAGAGGTTTGACCTGATAGACCGGCCCACCGGGTCACGTCTGCACGTCTGCAGTTAGCAATAGTCGCCTCACTCTTGCCAACTCAGCAACTTTCTTGCTTTATTTAGCGACATTTCAGAAAAAAAAATTGTTATAGGCCAAAATCAGAATCATCGGGTCAGAATTTTTAAAGATGGGCAATCAGTGACCGGCCAAAAAAACTGCAATCGGTGCACCGCTATATTAGATTTCAATTAAGAGGGATGCAGATAATGTTACATCCAGAATTTAAAAGGAGAATCCAGAGCATCGCTACCACCATGCTAGGCTAAAGAGTCTCACAAAACGGTTGCAGCTTGCTTTTTCTTTGACCCGCTTCACAATATCGTCTCAGCCATTAACTTCTTCAGCTTAGATTTGAAGTTTAGTAGAAACAGAGGCAGATACAGGACTGTGGGAATGGTTATGATGGGATCTGCAGAGCCCACATATACATCATCATTGTTTTTCATAAGTACAAAGTTGTTTTAATGTCTGCTTTGATTCAAGTTTTATTATTCTAGCTTGTCCCGAAAATGTGCACGGTAAATGCAAATGCAGCATAAAATGTTAATGTTCAAAAAATAGTTAGGTTAATGAGGACAGGGGTGATGTTTCATCCAAAACTTTCAGTTCAAAGCACTAGCAGTAACAAGTCAAAGCAAATAGCAAACATAGATCAAATGTATGTTTTAGTTTTATTTACCTCCTGTGGCTGAACTTGAAATTACATTAAATCCAAAGTTCCTACATACCAAGTCGAAATAGTTTAATGAAATGCTAACTACCGTTAGCAATACAAGCTAACGATATACTGTAGCAGGCAAAGTACTGCTTGAAAGTATTAACTGCTTGACGTGATGACAGAATACCACAGCTGTCATAGCATTTAATTTGATTGGTTTTTGAGGTTAGGTTGAGAGAAAATCTTTCCATTTGATAGAAGTCCTGAGAAATATCTTCGAATTTGGACTTTACCAGATTGCTTTGATTCTCTGGCCATTTTTGTATCTCCGTAAAAAAAAAAAAAAAAACATGACAAACGGATGACGTTTAAGGAAAGTTCTGCCACTCT